GGAATGCCTGTTAAATGAGATGAGTTGCTGAAATCTAGGTCAGTGTTTAATGCGTTACTCAGCTTTCGCTTTTTCCAGCTCCACATAATTCCAAGATCAACCTACCACAAAATGTTAAGAATTAGCTAACCTGCAAGTCAACTACAATCATGCATGCTCAACAAAAGATAGATATATTTCCCAATTGGAATCATAACTTGAAATTTAGATGGAGTTTATCAAATGCACAAAAAAGATCCAAAGGTTGACTAAACATGTGCTTGGGGCATGAAAAAACACACAAAATATCTAAAACTGGCACGCTACTAAAGCCTAAAAAGTCAAATACAAATTTAACTAGTACAGAAAATAAAATAAGCATTACAATAAATAAGCAGAACCCAATTTGTCAATTTGGAACTATCTTTAATCCTTATGATTTGGCAGAAGTTACACGAATTCTATCACTTCTAGTACCTTCTTGCTTAAGGGTTGTCCGGAGTGTATGCCGTGCAATGGCTGCGGATTTAGATGAAGATCAGGTTGCAGGGCCTTGAGAATGTGAGATTCAACTTTCTGAACAAGAACAAGGAATTGAATATGCGAATGAAGCAATATGCTTGAGTTGAAAGCTGAGGATTAAAGTGTACCAACCAAAAAATCATTGTAGGTCCAAGAAGCATCAGAGATCGACAAGATGTCCTTGACAACATTTTCCATGCGCATATGTAGGAGAACCTTGTGAACGGTTGGAATCTTTTTTGTAGAATCGGCAGCTCTTCCTTGGATAAAACAACTGCGATAGTCTTGAATCTGCAAGGAAAACATCTCTATCAGTTCATGTAAATTTTATAGTCCAAGTAAGAACACTCCAATCATTCAAAATTGCATAATTTTTTTTGTTGGCATTTGAATAACCTATGGAAGAGTAGTAGTAAATGTATCTTCTGATGGAAACCTTGTGGTTCCTTTAAAGAAGACAAACTTATATACCTATTGCCAATGAACAAACAAACATTGTAACAAGGATCACTAAATCAATGATAGTTAAAATACAAATATAAAACAGAGACTTATAGCTTTTCCTCACCTCACAAAGGATGGCTCCATTGACATATTTGCAGGGTAAACCATCAAACATATCTCCAGGTAACCAACCACCCTCAATCGCCTGATGCAAAAAAAAAAAACGCAGAAAAGAAATTATGACTGTTAAATAGACAGTTAAGAACATGAAGCCACGCAAGTGGAATTTCCCATCAACCACGGGCATCCAAAAAAGCCACTGGACATGACATAACCCTCCAAGATCTAAGTAGAACAGCAAGATAGCATGGCTTGGTATAATTTTTTCTGCTTTTTATCTTACTAGTCAAATCTGAGCAGGAAGGAGAATGACTGAGCCATATCATATGGTTCACAAAAACTGAAGTCACTGCTTCTGACATTTCAGCAAATAATGTACCATACTTACAGAAAAAAGTGTCTCTGATACTCTATCATATGGATGCAAGTGCTCTGGTATATCATTGAGAAACTGCCAAAGCATTAAGGTTTGTGTTAAGGATTACATGTGATACTATAGTTTAATAAATGCCAAGTAATTTCTGTAAGCGTCTATTAATGATTGCTAACCTCAGTAGCTTTACCCACAGAAAAGCCATTCTGAAACAACTTCAGTGAAAAGGATACCTCAAAGTCTGCACAAAAATGGACTATCAACAAAAGAAGATTTCTCAGTCAGCACATGATATGATTGCAAGATCAGAGTGGTACATTACCTTCTGAAACTGAATGCTGTCGAAAATTGACTAATACAGTTGAAGGATCAGCAACCTTAGCTCCCATTCCAGTAGAATGAACCTTCACCACAATTACATGCTAAGACTTCATGCAGACTAGTTTCTGGAATAATAAAATGATAAAAGGGTGGGGAGAGAAGAGGAGGGAGTGAACGTGGTATAGTTGAATAGCTCAACCTTTGATGAGAGCCACCGGATTCATCCTGCCTTAACATGTTAAAAATTAAAAAATGTTCAGGTCTACTAGAGCATTGTTGACTTAATAAGCACCTAGAAGACCAACCTTACCCATCATCAACCATTAGAAGATTTAATAATTTAAAAACCTTACAAGCAATTGATAATGTATTTCAGGGGCACCAAGTTATCAAACCACTTGCAGACTTATCTATTGCCCTCCCAAATCCCAGAGATAGTTCCCAAACGCAAAATTAAGTGGAAAATAAGTAGACTGATTCCAAAGACGGGGGACCAAAAAACCCAAAAAAGAAGAAGACGAAAGTCCACACTTTCAGCTTCATCCATGCAGTGCAGACACAAGTATCAATTACAGAAAAACATAAACCCATTGTAAATAAAAACCTGAAATCACGAAAATCAGAAAACCCAAAATCCAACTGAGACACTCACTAAGATAACAATGAAGAAAAACAAACCAATCAGAGAAAATGAAAGAGACTGAATAAGGGGTTGGCTGTTGAAAAAATTATATCATCCACAAACCTCGTCATCTCTATCCCGAGAGTCAGAAACCGAGTCATCTTCATCGTTGTCTTTGTCCTCCTCCGGAAGCACCTTTGGTTTGTACCTCGTACCCGTCTTTGCAACCTGGAAAGACACGCCCATGTCTGACGAGTCACTCTCACTGAGCAATTTCCTCAAACACCTTTTGGTTACAGAGCAAGAAGGTGAAATCTAGTGCATATATGTAAGTGTGAGATGAGAGAAATGGGGGCAATGTAATGTGCCCTAGAGTTGACGCGAGAACTTCCCAGTACGTTCTGGTTTTTGGAAGGTCCCAAATTATAGGTTGCCAGCTTAGCCATGAACACCAACACGTAGTAAATATACAGGTCGTAATTGATATAAGGAAACTTAGTTTTGGCCCCCGTACATTGATTAATTTACAGCTTATGATATGCTGCCGTAATCCAATTTTGTTTTTATCTTATGTTTATTGTTCGGTGGATGTGAGGCTGTTTTAATTTATTTCACTTTTGGGGCTTTTTAAGACTTTAGTGTAAAGGCAACGGCCACTTTGGCGCGTTATGGTTGCATGAATGAAATGTGTTGGTCATGTGGGATATTTGCTGGAAAATATATTTGGTCTTATCTTATTTGCATCTTAAATGTGCTCACCACCAATACACCTGAGGAATGGTGTGGTGTAGTTGGTCTCTGGATGCTAGTTGTGTGGCAATAGCTGATTGTGACACAAATACCAAATTAAGAGAAAAAGGAAGTTGAGAGTTGAATTACTTAATAAACTACATGTTTGTAGACTCGTAGTATTAAGGACCACAAGATGAACAATAATTGGATCCTTGGGAATGGATGAGATGAGAGTTAAAGAATCATTTAAACCCCAAAGAGGGAACTATTTCTCCGAGGAATAACATTTCATGTGTAGTAAGAAAAACACATACCAACGTATGATATGCAATTAAATAGGTAGTAATGTTATGGTTACGATACATGAGAAGAGAAAACAACATATAAACATAAAAACAATATAGCAAATTACGAGGCGACTAAATAGGTAGAAACATTGCCGTTGTGATATATAAAAAGAAAACACAATGTGTAAATAGGAAAACACATGGCAACATATGGTGCAACCAAATTGGTAGCAACATTACAGCCATCAAGCACGAAAGGAAAAAACAACAACGTGTAAACAAAAAACTACGTGGCAACGTATGATGCAACCAAATAAGTAGCAACATTATGGTCGCAAGACACGAAAGGGAAATACAACAACGTGTAAATCATATGGCAATGTATGATGCAACCAAATAGATAGCAACATTATGGTTACATTACATGAAAGGAAAGACTAACGTGTAAACGAAAACCACCTACCAACGTTACTGTTGCGATACATTGAAGGAAAAAATAATAAGGTTTAAAGGCGAACCACCTACCAATGTTACGGTTGCAAACATGAAAGGAAATAATAACAAGGTGTAAACGAAAACCATCTACCAACATAATGGTTGCGATACTTTAAAGGAAAAAATAACAATGTGTAAACGAAAACCACCTAACAACATTACGGTTGCGAACGTGAAAGGAAAGAATAACAACGTGTAAACGGAAGTCACCTACCAACGTTATGGTTGCGAACATGAAAGGAAAGAATAACAACGTGTAAATGGAAGTCATCTACCAACGTTACGATTGCGAACATGAATGGAAAGAATAACAACGTGTAAACGAAAGCCACCTACCAACGTTACGGTTGCGAACATGAAAGGAAATAATAACGATGTGTAAACGAAAACCATCTACCAAAGTTACAATTGTGATACATTAAAGAAAAAATAACAATGTGTAAACGAAAACCACCTAACAGCGTTACATTTGCAAAATATGAAATGAAAGAATAACAACGTGTAAACAAAAGTCACCTACCAACGTTACAATTGCGAACATGAATGGAAAGAATAACAACGTGTAAACGAAAGCCACCTACCAACGTTACGGTTGCGAACATGAAAGGAAATAATAACGATGTGTAAACGAAAACCATCTACCAAAGTTACAATTGTGATACATTAAAGAAAAAATAACAATGTGTAAATGAAAACCACCTAACAACGTTACATTTGCAAATATGAAACGAAAGAATAACAACGTGTAAACAAAAGTCACCTACCAACGTTACGATTGAGAACATGAATGGAAAGAATAACAATGTGTAAACGAAAGCCACCTACCAACGTTACGGTTGTTAACATGAAAGGAAATAATAACGATGTGTAAACGAAAACCATCTACCAAAGTTACAATTGTGATACATTAAAGAAAAAATAACAATGTGTAAACGAAAACCACCTAACAATGTTACAGTTGCAAATATGAAAGGAAAGAATAACAACGTGTAAACAAAAGTCACCTACCAATGTTACGGTCGCGAATACAAGGAAAAAAATAATAACGTGTAAACAAAAATCACTAGGCCCGACCCTGAGGCAGGGCGAGAAAGGCTACTGCCCTGGGCTCCATCTCAAGGGGGGCCCCAAAATATTTATTTATTTTATTGTTTTTTTAAAAGCTGCTTTTAAAATAGTTTTTTAATATAAGGTACAGTAGTATACTAGGTCTAGAGTATATATAAGAAGCTAACATATTTCTGAAGTTCCATCTTGCATTAATGGGTTCTCTTTGATTTTATTCAAACCAAATCTATGTTCAAGTCCACTAGCGTTAAGAAATATGGCTTCAAATTTTTTTTAAAAAATATATTAATGATGATTGATGTGTTGGTGTTCTTATTATAAATGTATAGACTATTTTTTGGAAAAAAGAAAAGGACAGTGGTTGACTTTGGAAGGAGTAATTTGTGGTTGATATAATTAACATACATTGTTCTACCCGTCTTCCTTCCTTTGGTGCATTCTACTACTTAAAATGTCATATTTTTCTTCCAATCTCTTTCAATTTTTTTTCGCTGTGATCAATCATTACTTTATATATAAATTTGGGCAATGATTTCCCCACTCCTATTTTATCCACTTACACTCCTTTTTTAGTTATAAAAAAGGAGTGTAAGTGGATAAAATAGGAGAAAAAGGAGTGGGGAAATCACCACTCATAAATTTTTTAAACTTTTCCACAAGTAAAACAAATATTTTTAAGGCCTAATTTTTGTTACTAGTTGTAAAAGGTCTACACTCTATATACACACGTATAAATCAAAACAAATATTTTTATTTATAAGTAGTTTTGCATTTATAGGGCCTTCTTTTTTACTTTGCCCTGGGCCACCAAATCTCAAGGCCGACCCTGAAAATCACCTACCAATATTACTATAGCAAACGCGAAAGAAAAAAACAAAAACATGTAAGCAGAAAAAAAAGAAGAAAAAAAAAAGCATGTCAACATGTTATGCAACTAAATAGGTAGCGACGTTAAGGTTAAATAACATGAAAGGAATATACAACATTTTCCAACAAGTTACCGAAAAATAGTGTTATGATATAAAAAAATATCACATCATTTTTTGTTTTTAATATTCTGAAAAATGTTAATTCATTATATTTTAGAAGAAAATTCTCCTTGGCTTTTACCGAAAAGAAAATAAATTCCCCTTGGCCATCTACAAGGGAGATGTCAAATACCAAACATCAAATTTAAATTTGATGGCTGATGTGACAATTTGACATTTACACAGTTTTACAGTTTTACACTCCACCCGATATGTCAAATAAATAATTATTGTAACACTCAAATCATTTAAGATAAAAAAGAAAAAAAATATAAAAAGGAAAATAATAAATGAAAGTAACAACTAACTATCTTTAAAAATAATAAAATATTCATTTGACATCTTGCTTTTGGGATGTCAAAAATAACATATCAACCTCCAGCCTTCATTCTACATCAGCTTTGACACATCAATTGGAGTGATGTGAGATGTTATTTCTAACCGTTAAATGTCTATGTGGCACTTTTGATACATCGGTTGGAGATGTTCTAAGTTGTATTTTGCCATCCAATAGTGAATCACGAAGGAGATGGTCTTTGTTTTTTTTTTTTTTTTTCCCCCTCCACCTAATCAAGCCGCATTGCAAGTTGTCAATTTTTAGGTGAGGCCCGTGATGGCCCAACCCAAAATATATCCCAAATTCATTTTCCTTGGCGTTTGCAAACTTGTAAGGGTACCACTCCCGATTTTCAACGAAGAAGGATTTGTAGTGCGTCCAAAATCATACCAACGATAATACAGTCATTCGACAGAGGGTAATCTGGTAAATCATAAATTGATACAATAAGGACCGTTTGGTAGTGTCGCATGATCCTTGTACCATTACAACTCGTAAAGGCAGCTGCGGACTCTCCAAGAATAACGTCTTCTTATTATATCACTCTCTCTCCCGCAGCCACCAACCCAAGAGTCAGACTTTACCAAACCACCAAACACTTCCTCCGGAAAAATAATCAGTCGACGCCTCCAAGTAAACTCTCGAAAAAGCCATGGCCTGTTCGAGCCTCGCGAAGCTTAATGCGGCGTCGTCTCAGTGGATCGGCCAGCAGTCCTTCACTCAGCGCCACGGATCGTCCACCAGCCTCTCTACTCGCCGAGTCGCCGTCCCGATCCGAGCTAAGGCCTACACCGACGAACTCATCCTCACCGCTGTGCGTCCTCTCTTACCTTATTTGCAGTTCATCACTATACATACACATAGATTTTGTTGTTGATTTCATCGCTGGTTAAAAGTTTGAATCTGATCATCAGTTTTTATTAATCTGTTATTTTTTGATGTATTGATTTGATTTTGTGTGTGGAGGATATGCATGTGTTTCAAGTTTATAAGTTTGAGATTTCACTGCTTTATCGAATTAAACTGTTTCTAACTCTCCGCTATGATTTGGTTAATTAAATTGATTAATATGGTGGTTTGATCTTCAGACTACTTGTATTTTATTTTTATTGTTTTCTCCGTCACAGCTTTAAAAGTTCTTAGCTCTAAGCCCATGTGAAAGCATACTAAAACTGCAATTTTGCGTAACATAACAACGGATATTTCTGTGGAAAAAAAAGAAAAAAGTAACTGTGTGTTTCCATAGGAGTTTATAGGTTCAAGTCATCAGTGGCAAATTGTACTTTGTTTTAGTAAGCA